CACTCTTCTGTCTTATCTTCCTTATCACTATCACTTTATCTCTATAGTTTTCTTATCTTTATTTTTATGTTTATGTTTATTTTTATATTATATTTATATTTATCTTTTCATTTTTATCTTTATCTTTAACTTTTCCTTTACCAATATCCTTATCTTTATCTGCATTCTTTTCTTCGTCTACATATTCACCCCCACTCTTGTCATTATGTTAAGTATTTAAATTTGACTTCCTCTTTGTCTTTATCTTTTTTTTATTTTTTTTCCTTTTCATTTATTTCGTTAAATACATATGCGCATTAAGATTTAAACAAACAAAAATATGTGTAAAAACAAATACAGAAATAAGGAAGTATGGGTTTCTTCACTTTTATTTTAATTTTTATCTTTATCCCTTTCTTCTACTCCATAGTCATCTTTTCTACAATCTACATAAATTTTATTCCTAAACTGCTGCTTAGCAATTTTTTTTAACTCAGTATAAATATCAAAGCATACATTAAGCAGGCATCTCCGCCCCAACTATGTACATAACATACATGTATGCATTGGTGTCACTTTTGAATAGGTTTTTGCGCTTTATTTAAACAAATTTGTAATTTGAGTAACTCTCTGCACAACAACATCAAAATAGCTTCCTAATGATATTTAAATCTCTATACCTTATACCAAATTTCCACTAGGCAATGAAATTACAAAAAATTGGAGGCATTCAAAAAATATGATGTGGAAATTAATTTAATGACTATTTTTTTAACGTAATGACACGACTACTTTTTAATTCCCAACTTTGGCATTACAATTTCTGTCATTTAATGCCAAGTGGAAATCCAGCATTAGAAGAATAGTTTAGCCGTAAAAGAGGCGTAAGAAAACATGTTTGTTCGCTTCGTGAAAAATACAAGTTCAATTTCGTAGGGATTAGTCCCCATACTGTTCCTTTCTTTTCAACTTGCCCTAGGTCGTTGATGGCAGTTGTAGTACCTCACTCGCCCTCGAAATGAACTTCACTATGAACAGAATGACTAAACAATTCGCATACTCAAAAGCTTTGATGGATTCTTAGTAAATTAGTTGGGGTACAAAGCATCAATCCGTCCTTTACAAGGCCTGACGATCAGCATTTGTGCTTTCACAATTTATAATTTTTTTATTTTTGTTATTTATGGCCTTATAACAATTAGATTCCACAATTTTAATGAGCTTGAGGCCGTTTTGAATGAAAATTTTTGTGGAAAAAAACACAATTTACATTTTTGGTAGAAGTTTTAGATATTGCGGAGATCACCACATTTCCTCATCAGACTTTTTCAACTGAACTCAATTCGCAATGTAAACCGTTTTTGCTTTTTCCACTTTTTCATTTGTTAATCCAACTACAATCAAGTGCAGCTATTCCTCTGCTATTTATGTAAACTTGTTTATAAGGTTGTTGTTCTTGTTGGTTTTTGCTAATAATTCTATTTTTAGAATGTATAACTTTTAGGTGCGCTCATCTTTAAGTTATGTATTTATTTTTGTTATTTATGGTAAATTGTGCTTTTTTCACAAAAATTTTCATTAAATACGTGCTCAAGCTCAATAAAATTGTTGAGTTTATAATTTTTGTGCAAAAAGTGAACAATATTTGACATTTTAGATACCAAATAAATCAAATTAGCTCTACTGCTACTACCCGTTCAATAGGCTTTGGTTAACACAAACTGTTTGGGATACGTTGCGTATGAGTAACATTCAAATTGCTTCTTCCAATTGTTGTCGAACGGCATGACGTATGAGCAACATTGTATTAACCATGAGGAGAAAATCGCTAATTCTGAACTGCGAATATATATGTATATATATATATATATATTTTCTTTTTTTTTAAGTCGGTTTTTTTTTTCTAAAAATTAGTTGTTCTTTAAAACAAAATACTATAAATTTTTGAAGCGTACTATATTGTTTCCGATTTTTTTGAAAAAGTACAATTTATAGTACTTAGAAATTGTTGGCAACCCTACTTCTGTTCTTTAAGCAATATATGTATATATATACATATGTATGTGTATTTATATTTACTAGTTAACAGCTTAATGTTGCATTAAACTGCATACACTCGAATCTACTAAAGTGATTTATAAATTTCCAAGAACAGCGTGACTGTATTGACATTGTAAAGCAAATACTTAGTTATGCTTGCATTTAGTTTTTTGTTTTTGTATTTTTATGCTAGTAAACTTAACTTAACTGAAATTAGTGCTCGTCGCCATTTTCATAATTTTGCCATATTTACTTAGATATGTGTGTATGTATGTATTTGCTTTTTTCATATTTCATTTCCAGGAATTCTTAGCCAAGAATAAAGTGGTTCATCGTGACTTGGCTGCGCGAAATGTGCTTGTCGCTCCGGATCGCACCATTAAAATAGCCGACTTCGGGTAAGTTGCTTACGGGAAAGCTTCTAAGCACTTGATTCATTGCAATTAAGGCAGCTAATACTTAAAAATATATGTACAATGTACATATATACATATATATATACAAAAGCCATAATGGTGTTGCTATTCATGTCTGTGTAGCTACTAAGTAGCTATAGCTATATATCAGTATGCTGATAGAAGATTGTATATACATACATATTAAGGCTATT